CTTTGTGAATGAATATGAGCAGAAGCTAAATGATTTGTGTGATCAGTGCAAGCAGATGAAACAGATTTACAACAAGGTTTTGGTAAGAAAATCTAAATGAAAATGCAAGTTAATTGGCTTAATCAATTATGCGCATGCCTTGGAGAACACCAATGGAGAAGCTTGGCTTTTAAAACCTGCTCCTTTCTTTATTGGCTGCTGTTGGGTCTTAGACCCATAAGGATTTGTCTCTGTACAGTACCCTTCGACACCTAACTGTTATTTTTTTTTCTCTGTACAATATCACCCTTGAATTACACATTAAGGTCACTGGAAGAGAGGAAACGATCACCAACTAAAGAAGGTCTTGATTGTTAAACAAATTCTCCTTGTCAGCATCGAAGGAAAGTATAGAGAGCAGTATGGAGAATATGTATACCGATGTTAGGTTAAAGGGGTTAACACAGCGTTACGTCAACTGATGGCAGTTTACTCTTGTCTTAACAGGTTTCTTTTGGTGAGTCTCAGAGTAGTGATTCTGAGGAAATCTTTGGACCTATCAGCACTTTTATGACACAGTTCAAAAAAGCGTTGAAAGAACAGAATCAGGGCAGTAATCGCAACAAGGGTATCAAACTGGAGGGCCTCAGGTGAGATGTGATGTAAGGTACCTGTTTTATGTGAATTGAGGCCAATGACAACGTTTTCAGTTGTGTGACCATGTAAGGCGCGAGGGTTGAACGGAGGGGCACTGGTGCGGCAAAGGTACCAAACTTAGAAGAAATCATTTTTTTTGTGTGATGTACCAATTTGCAACGAAAAGTAAAAACATTTATGGAGGCTGATGCTGTTCTGTGCAATCTTGGCATTGAGATCTATTATGTTTCAGCCAATTTATCCTTAACTAATAGAGAGGTAGCTTGTAAATCGATAAGTGAACGCAAAACGTTCGAAAGCGCTGCGTTTGAGTAATGCAAGTCTCACACGAAGGTCACGCAAGGAAGAATTGAGGGAGAGGGGTCCTCTCTGCGAAATGGTCAATTGTGGTTTCGCCAAACTTATCCAATGCGGAGAATTAACGCCAGCAATGCACTTCTTGCCTATTGCACGAGAATAGCGGTCGAGTTATCTTGATTCTTCTCATTGTTTTTCAGTGAGGCCATCGCACAGAGGCAGAAGTCGATCAATGTAAGTGTTTTTTATCATTCTATGCTAAACGACGTTTTACTCATTGTCTTCTTAATTCCTCGCGAAAGCTTCCACCTAGGACTCGTGTTTTCTCATAAATAGCATTGAAATATAAATATTAATTTTGTGAAGTGTGAGTTCTGTCTTGAGGCAAAACTGGATCATCGCTTACTTTTTGTGCTTTTTCTAGGACTCAACTTCAGTGGCCTCTATGAGTTCTTTTTCGACAACATCAACTACCTCCGGTAATGACAATATTGATGGAAACAAAACCAGTCGGAATGGTGAGGTGAGCAAGCAGGTTTAATAAATTAGTTATGTTAATCCTTTGTTCGTGTTCATGTTTATTCAACAGAAAAATAGTTTAAAAGAGCATTTTAAAAACTCTTTGAAATACTCAATCGTAGCTTATTTTGTTGAGGCACGTTTTATACAACTGTTGTTTCAGTAAGATGAATAAAATAACGACTGCCATACGCACCGAATGTAAAGTACCCGACAGCCCTCCCTCACTCGGGTCTCGTGACACTCACAATTAGTTAAAATTGTAACCAACCTGCATTTGGGAGTATACGGACGAATACAGTCGAAATAAAACTGAACGGTCACAGTTTTGGAACTTCACACTGGTCCATTACCGTTGAGGGTAAACTAACCGATTAGTCTCGTGGACTGAACAGAACACCGTCAAATGACCGAAAAGTTCCCGCTCCCGCTGTCTTCGGGTTGTATTTTTTTTCAAGAAAATATCTCTGCTTTTTCTTTCAGAAAAGAGACTTATTTCTTGAAAGGAAGCCGTCAAATAAAGATACAAACACTTCTCCTCATGCACCGCTCCCTGTCATCCATAAACAGGTAATAATATTTTCTTAGAGGAGAGCGGTTTTTGTTTTAAGTGGTGAGGTTAGAAAACATCATAATCCTTTAACTCTCAGAGGTGATTAACATGTAACTTCTACTTATAACGTCCATACACTATCCAGTAAATAGGTCATGAGAATATTTAAATTGATCAGATAAAAGTTGCTCCATTTATCCAACACCAAATTATCTTAAACTAATTTACAAGGAAGTGAGTAGCAGCTAGAGGTTAGAATTAACAATCAGATCTTTGGGGTTAAGGACTAACCTTAGTGGAAACTAAAATTTATTACCAGACCCCGGATTAGAAAAGTGGTAAAACCATCCACTGAAGTAGTAATCGTCTGCCGGTTTTTTTATGTTTTTGTTTTTTTTTTCGGACACGAGGCGCTGGGTGGAGTTTTATTTGTTGGTCTTGGATGTTTTCCTCATTACATGCAATGTTGTCTCATAAGATATGATGATAATTTTATAATATTTTATCACTGTTCGTAAGAGTTTTTAAAGGATATTTCATTGTTTGATATTCCTTTGGGTTTGAATGTATAACTAACTTTCTTTTTCAGTTGAGTATCAAATTGCCGCCAAAACCACAAGGGAGAGCGAATCCCAAACCCACACGGAGCGGTTTCCTTGGCAAGCTCAGCGGAGGAAAACATCATTCTCCAAAATGGGACAACAGATATTTCGAGCTCACAGACACAGGATATCTTAATTATTACAAAAAAGCTGATGGCGGGAAACCTATCAATTCCATCTATTTGAGAGGCTGCCCCTTAGAAATAGACCCTAACGACCCTCTAATAGTTCTCATTAAAACCGACGATAGAGACTGGAGCTTGCGAGCGGCAACTGCTGAGGAGGCCTGCGCATGGAAAGAAGCCATGTCATTTTACACTGACAAACGGAACTGAAGGCTCACAAATAACTCAGGGATAAATTTTTGTAAGAGCATGCGATCAATCAGGTTAATTTCACGACTTGAGACCGAGATTGATTCTGGTCCTGCTTTTTGATAATGGGGATGATCCAAGATTTAGATCCAATCAGAGATTATTTCGCTCAGTGTGATTCCAAGCTTGAGAATTGCACAAAGTGGGAAGAAATAAAGAGGAAACGAAAATAACATTCTGAAATTAAATTTGACGACAGTCTTGGGTTTCATCATGAGACTTGTTCAAACAACTGGGGCCAGGCCACGCGCCGATTTTTACATATCAAATTTACACTAGAGCTATCCTCTTTTCTTTGAAATAGAAATTCTAACTTTAATTGGAAATTTTGCTTCAGTTGAAGAGGCTCTTCATTCTGTGTGAATTATTTATTGATCTACATAGTAACTGGCGTACCATGCATTCGTGTATGTTACTTGGCATAAACTCTTCTCAAAGTGTCGCGTATTGTTATTATTATAAAACCATGCAATTATTAATATAAACGAATGAAAGGAAGAAAATACGGGTCAAAAATGAAAAAGATACTTAAAATTCATGAAAATGGTTTACATCTGCATCATTCAGGCTATTCCCAAGATTGTGCCGGGATAATTATTGATTCAAGTTAAATGTTTATTAATTCATTATTTTGTTAGAGCGTCTTTTCATAGACATGAAAGAGAGATTTCACGCAATCTGCTTAACTGTTATGTTTGTACAATGTAACCGTATGTCTCTTACCACACATGCTACTTGGAAGACCTCAGCGTCAGTCGTAGCTTTGCCCCTCAGCATCTTTCCTCAACTTTTATCTTTTGGAGTTTCTCTCCTAAGACCTCTCTTAAGAGAACTGATGGTAATATAAATTATTTTAAACGACTCATGCGATGTAAAGGAACTTGCGAAATATTACAATATTATGAATTATAATCATGCATCATTGTAATAAACATTTTAGTCCAAGATGTTTGTTTTCTTTCGCAATCTACTCTCTTTTGTGAGGTTGGTTGAATTTCGTGACGCGTACGTGACATTCTGAAATAACATTTGTACCGTGACTGCCCAGTTTTAAATGAGTCAGACTTGACGGTGGAAAACGGAAAATTTTGATTTTTGGGTGAATGAAATTGCTAGTTATCACATCAAACTCAAACTGATGTGCAATGGTGATGATTAAGCGTAAAAATTAAATTAATTGGATTAACAAAATTAACGAATGAACCAGTTCATAAATGAATAAAGGGGGTAAGTTTCTGAAGAAACTGTGGGAGAGTATAGCAGGTAATTTAGTGTTAACGACTGAGTTGGCCACTGTGAAGGGCCACCGTAAAGGGTAAAAAAGCTGACGTTTCGAGCGTTAGCCCTTCGTCGGAGCGATTGGAGGAATTGTGGGTTGTGTGTGGGTTTACATGCAGAAAGTAGAGCTACGCTATTAGTGGGAATATGGTGACGAAAAAACAGAAATAAATAAATCTACCCAGTTCTCCTGTTTACCTCTCCCTTTAATTCATTGTTGCCTTACTCACGCTATCGCATTAGTACTTTTGGGAACCAACCAAACGCCGGGTAGGAGATTAGCGATTAGCACTGACATTGCTAAAAAAAATTGCTGACATTTTGCAAAAATTGAATGGACAGAGTGTCCAATTAGAGCTCATTCGTGATGTTACGTCAGTCGCAAGAAGCTTCCTCTTGACCTATCAGCATGCAGCAGTGTTTTTTACCCTACCTCGCCTTGTGTCCATCATTCACAGGTCACAGATGACGTCAACATCGGGTAGGGGGTAATTGCGAACCTAATAGGCTTTTCCTGATTCCGGTGTCAGGAAAACACTTTGACTGATAGATTTCTCGAAGCAACTATTGTCTTTTCGCCTGAAAATTGCTTCCGACGAAGGGTCTTTACCAGTTAATTCCGTAAAGAAAAACTTCGCAAATTGTGCACCATAGTTAATAGTTGTTCGCCTCTTTATATAAACAAATATTGTAAAAAAGCCGGAGACGTCGTCGTATCCAATCAGGGGGAAAGATAAGATAACTGGAAAATTATCCATCGATTTTTTGGTTTGAACAACAGGTAATATATTTCATTCACCCAATCAGACATTTGAAGATTCTTTCTTCGTTTATTTTAGTCAGAACCGCATCCACAAAAGTAACGTAAATTTTAACACATATCTTGTTTACGAAAGATGATAAAAAAAATGTTTAAAAAAAAAAAAAAAAAAAAAAAAAAAAAAAGAAAGATGTCACTTAATTCTCACACGACGCATAATATTTACAAACCTTTTAATAGTTCTTCGATACAATCTACTGATTTTTTTAACTAATCAGAGTGCTTCTGTGATCTCCGTTATCTTATGAATTAAAGTATTTCTGCGCTGAACCGTTTGGCATCGACATGACACTTAATTATTTCAATTTACTGGCCTATTCACTGTGGAAATATATTACACCTTTTTCAATTTTACGTCCTTGAAAAACCTTAACCGGAAGTCGTTGGCGTGACTCAGAATTAATAACAATGCTTACACTCCTTAACATTACTAATTTGGGTTGAAATGTTTAAATAGAATCTACATCAAGACTCAGTCACTTCCGTGATCACTGAACCAGTCACCAGTTCAACATTAGTGATTAGACAATTTCGAAATTACCAAACTACTTAATAAAGGGGTTGAATTTCTAAAGAAACTGTAGTTCTGCGTCGGTGGAGGAGTATAACAAGGTAAATTGGTATTGTCAGCTGAGTTGAAAACATAAAGAGTTTTGAAGATGACATTTCGAGCGTTAGCCCTTCGGCATTCGCTCTGACGAACAGCTTTGAAACTCTTTACGGTGACCAATTTGCGTCATCAACTCAGTTGATACTGATACCAAATTACCACATCTGAACTACTGTTATCTGAAATTTTCATTTCACGAAAAAAGTGTTTGATCATCTGTATTCAAAGTGCTTGATTTCAAATTATAGCCGTTATTCTTGAAACTATTGACTCGTCTATAGCCTGCCAGACTACTTAGATAATTTCATGTCTATTTGGTAGTCAACATTTCTGTTACGCTCGCCCATTTACAAACTTGACCCTAATTGGAGCACACAACAGTAATCAGAGATATCTGAAAAGCTCGTTCAAAGTGGAGATTTCGCTAACCAAGAAAACATTTTCGCGGCGACGATAGAGATTTGAGATGCGAGAGATGAGATCAGAAGCAAATGTCAGCTACAAGGTGTGCGCATTCCAAGAGATGTTTCCTCGGGGGGGGGGCAAAAAATATGTGCACGTGAAAGGAGAAGGGGAAAATATGAGAATGGGAAAAAGAAAAGAGAATACCTCTAAAACCAGAGTTTAAGAATAATATTAAAGCTAAAAATTTAGTCTTCATTGCGGAAAATGATGGGATCAGTGAGAGGAATAGCTCCGGGTAAGTTTGTCGTTTTTCAGGCTATTCAACAGGAAGTTTCAAAACTATTTTGTTTCAGCACGTGGAAAAAAAACCCTTGTCTGTTTGACCTTTATTTACGTAAGCACGAGTTACGAAATTAAGGTTATTGTACGCTAATATCTTTCACGCGACATTGGAGGTGGTTTAGTGTTGTTTTCTCAGAAATCTGGAAACCTGAACAATAGCGCCGATATCCTACCCTGTGGGGTAGTGAGGGTGAAGTTGACAAATTAGCCTATATACTTTTCTTCGATCAGCTGATGGCATATTTTAGACTATCACCGTAAAATATTCTTTTACGAGTCAATTTTTAGACAAATTATTCGAAATCTTCAGAAACAGATTTATTTTTACTTTTCAAAGAAGACCTGTAATTGGCGGATTTATTTATATCACTGACGTAATGTTCATAGTAGCGCAAAGGCCAGGGTTGATCAAGGGGAGGTTTTACGTCTAAGTGAATTTTTTTTCCTGTTGCAAGAGAGTCACCACCTCATTGGCTTATCTTTTCGAAGTTGAAGTCAATGTAGGGAGGTAACAGTTAGCATCGAAAGGTATTCGTCCAAAGGAAAAGCGGAAAAGTAGAGGAAAGGTGGTTAAGTCCTCTGAAAGTCAAAATGGCTGCAAGTGCTTTGGGCATTAGTGCTCCAAACTTGTCCTGCTCAGCTGGTAGGTAAACTCGATATCCTAATTACTCTCGGGGTATTCATTCCCATTAAGAGCTTTTCAGTTAACAAAAGGCGCAATAATTGTAAAGGTGCTGAGAATAAAAGATAAAATACGAGAAGTTTGTTTACGAACTTCGCTCGACGGATGCGGGAATCAAAACCGCGAAGTTTACCCACACAAACCGATTCGCAAATGCATGCGGTTTCGTTGGAAGAAATTTTTGCGTCATACGGATGATGTTTGAACTTTTTATCCTAGAAAAGCGGCCCAAGTTTTCCAGAGATAAAATTCGAAGTATCTGAGATCCACAATGAACGCATGTCGATCGGTGTTGTTCGTTGAAGTGAAGTTCACTTTGGGCGTGAGTACTTTGGGGTTATAATTCCTTGTTTCAACTTGAAAATCTAATAATCGTCAATTGTCTTTTGGTCGCAGCTATCATGGTATTAGTTGGGGTACTTTGATTAATTCGTTCAATTCAGATTCATGCCCTTGAGTTTTGCCTTTTTATTTGCTCATGAAAATGCATATTTATCAGCTGTAATTGGACAGAAAATCATATGTTTTTCTGTCGCGCATATTTTCATTTCTATCTATACAGCTCGCAGGAAATTTTAGTTTGATTTGTTGCTCTAACCCGGTGGAAGGTTAGATGTTGTGTTTGTAATTTACTTATTTATCGCATTATCTGTAGTATTTGCCGATAAAGCATATTTGAAACAGCGAACAATATAAAATCGGAATTAGTTCTACAGGCTTGTGCAAGTAATTGTGTCATACGCGAATCGTGTAAGCCAGTTTTTCGACCTGTTATAAATTTTTCAATCTCTTAATTGAGTGAAAATGAGTTTTTTTGCGGAAGTATTACCAATTTACTGTCTTTGCGTGACCTTGGGCAAATTCTTATCTTTTGCTGTCCAGCTCCTGCTCAGCCTAAAAATAATACTTCCTAATTTGGATCATGAAGCATGCTGCTGAGTCATGATACGGAGAAAAACAAAGCCAGATATACTGTGTTTTTTTTATCGTAGTGATAATAGAAGGAAACATATGGGTGTAACCTTTGAGTGTTTTTATAACGTTTCTATAGAACTAGAGGGAAAACACTTTTAAATCAGGGAAAATATTTGATTGTTAGTTTTGCAAGTGCTATTGTTAAATTACAATCCCATTGGTTGCTAGATCAAGTTGCCTCAGGCCTCATTTTGATGAAAATTGAGACTATATGATTTTATGGTGAATTAACTAGTAAACTATTTCTTTTTGTATTTAAATGATGTTATTGTTTCCTAATAAATTATGGGTAATATACTTGTTGTCAAGCAACACCAGTAAATAAATTTGAAAACAAAATAGCAAATTGGTAGACATGACTTCCTGTTGATTAACTTAATTAATAGTTACCCTTGCTTGACTAGTAAAACCCATATTCTTATATCAAAAGGTAAAAATTACCAGCCATTGAAACATATAAACCCTCTATCTTCCTTTCTAACAAATGATTAAATATTATTTAAAAATGAGGAAACTACAAACTGCATTTTTTTTCAGGTGCTGAAGATGTCTTTGATGATGAAATGAAGTTGCAAAAGATAAACCTTATGATGCAATACCTACCACTGACACAGTCTCGTTCACGGCGACCTCTCTCTCTAGATGATTGTGTTGTTGCTGAAGAATATTTGACCAAGTCTTCTCATTCCTGGGATTCTGGCGTTTTCTCACCATTATCACTGTCATCCAGTTCACTTTCCAGTAGTGATCAAACTTGGATGTCACCACCCCCTTCATCTCGACTTACCAGCTCACCAAAGCCAAAAGCAAAGAAACAATTGTTTTCATTCCCAGCAGGTATGTGTGGAGAGTTTTAAGAAATATTTTAAACATTGTGTAAGCAATGTTGTGGTTATATTAAATTTTGAATGTTTTTCTTGGTGCAATGTAGTGCTATAGTGTGTATCTTTCTTTTGCTGTTTAGGTGCTTTAATATATACTTGTTGATAGTTATTATCATTATACGGCAAGGTAGACCTGTAGTAAATCAGAGCACTCTGACTGGTTGTTACTTGGTTGGGATTTTGCCATACAGACTGTTCCCTGGTAATAGTCATTAGCAATTTAATTTTTGTGTGCAAAAGCTAGCAAACTCAAAATAAGGGAGTTTTGTCTGAGTGCCATGTAAAAGACTACTTATACTCACAGTACCCTAGTGAGGTTATTTGGCCCTCAGTTGTATTTGACTTGTACAAACCTGGCTGCAGTCAGTCTGTATTAGTACAGCTCAGACCAATATTCCTCAGTATCACCCTTATAAGTTATATTAGCAAAAATTTTCATCAAGAGAATGTGTGTGTACTTGAAACTGAAATGAAGAAAAAAAATGATTGTTAAAAAGGATTGCACAAACTTTGTGTTTTTTCTTTAGCCCCATACCAGGATGTTCTTTCTGACCCTTCCATGGAATCTATATTTGGTGATATACATGAAGATATTGGTGTGTCTTGGAAAACACTTGGACGTTATATGCTGAAAAGAGAATGCATTCTCAATAACATTGATGAAGATTACAAGGGTGTTGGAGAGAAAGCATACCAGTTTCTTTTGAAGTGGAAAGCAGAGGTTGGGGAAGCTGCCACTCCTCAAAGGCTGTTTCTATCAGTGTTGCATATTAAGCGCACAGATGTTGCCAAGAAGTTGGTGACTTTAGTTCCTTCGCTTCAAGGCTTGTCACATCTTGTGATAGACAGTGCTATTAAAAGTGAAAGTATCCTATATAACTGGAAGGAAGAACCTGAGAATTTAAAAGTAGAGAGGGTGTTGAGTGAAGATAAAAAGGTAATGATGCTATAAGAATTGCAATAAAATAATTTAGTGGCCAATATGAATGGTTCATCAAATGCTAGTATTAATCAAAAAAAGGTCTTCATTATTTATGGGAGATCATAAATTTATGGCCTGGTTTTTTTCCGACTGAGACATTTAGAAGTCTCTCCAGTTGCTTAACATGATTCTCTTGCTGAAACAATAAAGCAGCTTAATACAAAAGCACTTGGATTCATTTGTATAGGTAATCACATGACACTTAACACCACTTTTTCCAAACCGACAACCCAAAAAGCAGTGCTTTTTACAGTGTTTTTGTTGTTAGAGCTGTTTTTCAGCCACTTTATTGTTGTTGAGGTGAGCCACTATATTGTTGTTGCAGTGGCGAAAGAAAACCTACTTGATACGCCAGCCATTGTTTTGCTCGCAAATTTTCAGTGCATCTAAATGTTGTGACATCCAAGGCTCACACTTGATTGGCTCTCTGTGAGTTTCTTTGATTATTGACCAATGAGAATGTCTGGTTTGGTACTTCTTCGCACTGAGTTAACCCTCTTCTGCACTGAATTACCTGAAAACTGCATTAACTCAACCAATCAGAACTGAGGAATTTTTTTTCATGTATATTATTATACACGTAACTTATTTGTTGTACATGGACGCTCACTGGAAACAGTCAAAATGGCCATGTTCCATGGTTTTATGATTTGATGCATCTTATCCCCCCTTAGAATAATTTCATACAAGCTTGCAAGTGATTGACATGTAACGTCTCCCAATAGTATCCATAAATTATCCTGCAAACAGGCAACCAGAATGTTATCTTGATCTGACACCAAATTCTTGTAACTAAGTTAAAAGGAAATGTGTAGCAGCTAGAGGGGAGAATTAACAGTCAGATCTGGGTAATTACAGGGTTAATAAATATTAATTTATCAAATGCAGTAGTTCAGATGAAGGCAAGGTTTTAATGCTTGGAACATCTGAATCAAGCTGTGTACTAACAGGCATTGTCTTATCTCTGACCTTTTTAAAGGTTCTTGTGTGTTTAAGCACAGTGACATCCCAAAGGTTGGTCCTCAAACAAGAAGAAGGTGAAGTGGAGGCTTATGCTGTGAGAAAGGTGAGGCCAACAAACACTGTACTTTGTATATTGTCCATATGCATTTTCTACTAATCAACTGAATTAATGCTAAAGCTACTAATTCTATGTGGAAAAATGGGTGTAAGACTATGGGATGAGTATAAAAAAAAATTCACTTTATTAATATTGTCAGAGACAAGCTTTTGGTAATGATTTAATTGTTGAAAGTGGCATTAGGGTATTTTTTTCCAGAAATCACCTTTAGTTTTACAATCTCTTGTACTATTCTCTGTTTGTAACTCTGAACAGTTCAGGGTAATGTGTTCTCCAACCTGTAGATGTACTTATGTAATTATTTCATGATCTGGGTGGAAAGATTCCCTCATAAGATTGACAGTAATTAGCAATTAAAATTTTTAACCTGTCATTCCCTTATTACTTTTCAACAGTGCATAGATTGTCAGGTGCTAAGAAAACAAAGCCAGCGTTTGCGCAAAACTGAAGAATTTCTCAAGGACTTAGAAATGAAGCAAAAGATGATACAAAATCTGCTTGCTGTCATCAAACAACTCCAGAACCACCTGCTGAATCAGCATCAGTACATCTCTGGACAAAAATTCAGCTGTCAAAACTGTGGACTGTACACATTGAAACAAGACCTTGTCCAAAAAGAGTTGACTCTTTTACACTATGAACTGGAAAGGATGAGCCAAACCAGAAACAGGCGAATCTCAATCAGTGGTATTCCCTCTGAAAGAATCTACAACTTAGCAACTAGGACATATTCAGTATGCGAAGAGCATCGGGAAATGCACTTGGATAGTAAGAGACGCCAAAGCATGTGTCAGCATTCTGAAGAGACAATGGACTCTGATGACAATGATCACATTGAAGGACCACTGATGGTAAGATCTTTTATTTTTAGTTTTCAAATAACTATTGATTGCATTGGAACCAAGTTTACACTGATTTTTGTCAATTCCCTCCAAACTCACAATGTACTTTTCCTTCCTACTTGCAGTGTGCATTAAATGTGATAATTGGTATTGGTAGAAGACGAAAAGTTACTCAGTCTTTGAAAAGCAAAAAGACCACTTCTGGGGCCAAGAAGAAGGTATTTACAAATTAATTGACCATTTTTAGTTATGAATTAGGCAGGGCTTGTTTTTTTGCACTTCATCATGCAAAAATAATATATAAATGGTATTTCAATATTGGGAGAAGAAATAGAGTCTTCCTCAGAAATGGAACAAAGGGGGTAAGTTTTTAAAGAAACTGAGGTGCTGCATCAGTGGAAGAGTATAACAGGGTAATTAAGTATTATCAACTGAGTTGATAGCGTAAATTGGCCACTGTAAAGAGTTTTAAAACTGACATTTTAAGCATTAGCCCTTTGTCATTTGCTCCAACAAAACTCTTTACAGTGGCCAATTTACATTATTAACTCAGTTGATAATAATAAATTACCCTGTTATATACCTCAGAAAGAGGTTCACTTACTTTGCAAAGACAAATTGGTCATCATGGCTAAATCTGTCTTAAGGAAAGTGGAGGTGACAGAGCAGAAGAAGGTGTCCAATCTACTAATGTCAGAATAACATCTGATGGCAATATTTGTGATTTCTCTGCAGCTAGGGAAGGCCAACAGTAATCCTATTTCATCATCATCATCATCGTCGTCATCATCATCATCATCCTCAAGACAAAGCTACTTACTAGCACAAGAAAACCCCATATTTATGCCAAGTTTTGTTCACTCACTTGACTGGTCAGGTGTCCCAGCATTTAAGGTTAGTTGGTGTGAAGGTGGATGGTATGAGTGGAGTTTTTTGTGTTTTCCTGAAACAAATTGCAAAAAATTAAGGTATCGATGCTTAGGGAGACATAATAGATGCGTTTGATTGAGCTAACTGCAGTCATGACTGTGGATCAAGAATTCTTGGTTCAAGCTATGGGTTAAGTCATTTTTTTGTGTGTGAGCAAGTCTCACAGACTGTCTATATCCTATAATAATAATAATAATAATAATATTGTTATTATTATTATTATTGTAACAAATGATATTAATAGTTATAATATGCAAATTCTTTCACATGTTCAATTGCTTGAGGTAGAAATAAGGTATTGTCCCATCGTGGAGAAGACAGTGGCTATCCATCCCCCCAGTCTTTACTCAATAATAAAACTAGGAGAAGCTTGCTGGGAAGCTATATTATTAGGCTTGTGTCAATCAACATAAGCCGATTTAAATGCTTGTTTGCTTTTGTTCTGTAGATGTTATCTGACTTCAAGAGTCCTGTATCTGGTGGGAACTCCAGGCACCAGGAGCAGCCCAACCACAAGAAAGCTTATGCAAACCTTGCTGTAACTTCACACAGTGATGATAATGATCAGTTCCTCCCTCTTAAATGGCATAATGGTGAGTATTCCCAGAGGAATTGTTTATGTAAAAAATTCCCCCTTGATAAATTCACTGCAATTATTTTATGAGAGAAATTACTTGGATAGATAATAGTTTGATTTGGTGGCCTGCTTGTTGGTCATCCAGGTGTAACTTGAACCACTCATAATTCTGTAGACAACTTTGGGTTCTTACTTTTGTCTTTACTCCGGTCAACTCTTGGCAAATAAGTAACCAGGGAGGATAATTACTGGTTGTCTGGATCTGTCAGAATATTTATTGTATCTCATAATTTCTTAGCTGCCCAGTAATTTGTTGTTTTGTAGGCCGCCATTAGTTTTATTGTAAACTGAGTCAATAAGACTACAACTCTGTTGTTGTATGGAGATTTGTTATGACTTCTATCATAAAAGACAGATAGCAGGCCGGTATTATTGCTCCAACTGAGAAGGAAGTGCTCTTTGAAGTGACTTTTCATGCAGGATGTGTGCCATATTCCACTTGTAGTACAGAAAAAAACTGCTTTTTCTTGTTTATTGATGTATTGTTTTGGTCATGTTTCAGATTCAGACACAGAAGAGATGATTATATAGGTGGCTCATGGAAGTGAAATCTTTGTCCTCAACAGCATCAGCTGTAAAAAACTCACACTCTGCACGTATAATATCTACATGGACTATTAACTGTGGTACATATCTTTGTTTCTGTGTGGTTATGATATGCAATGCTATGTAATAATAGTGTTTGGCAGATACTTGTTTCATTAGTTTAGTCAGTGTTTTTCTGTTTAGGTACATGTAAATAGATGAAGATTTTCTCTAGTTTTGTATCAAAAGTTTTTTTAATCTTTTGTAGGAGCTTAGAAATATCTTTAGTACGGCTTTTTTCGTCTCGCTAGGGCATGACATTGCAAATTTGTTCTAAAGTTTTAAGTAGCAGTAATGAACTGAAGAGCAATAGCAACAATATTAGTACGCTGCATAAAATGTACGTTTCATACACGATCGATTTCTGTGTGAAATTCCGTCTGTCCAATGACTTGACTCTAAAATTATTACATTTATCGACTACAATATCGTATGGCAAAAATTATGACCGTAAATCTGTGCGTAAAAAAACCAAGGAAAACTAATTTAGAATTTTATCGTTATTTTTTGTTGTACCTATGCAATTCCGCCAATTTCAGTGAGCATTCAACGCAATGTTTCCTTCTTAAAAGACATTTTTAAATGCACTTTTTACCGCTAACCTGTACGTGCAGTCAAAGAGAAGTTTTACCAAGCTGGGTTGAACCCAGCGATCCCCGCAGGCGGACAAAATAGTGTCATCTAGCAGTACGGGTTATTCAGAAAGTTGTTTGTTACCTTTTTGTGAGAGGGTAGAAACTAACAATAGTTCATTTTCACGTGTTTCGTTCGATTTGTACGTATCGTCTAGAAAATAGTTGAAATAAGTTCCAAGCTCCGAGACTGCGCAATAAAAGACATACACTGTATGGCTAACACTCGTGATCGCCATAAATGAAACAAAAAAAACAGTTGACAAAAATTATATTTTTACCAAGTGTAAAAATAATGGTTGCACTTTTTAAAAGCTAAGACCCGAACAGCTGAAATCAGTTATGGCATTATAACCATTGTTCAGTAGTTGTGTCTGAAACTGAAATTTGGGTAGCTAAGTGGTAGTTGGGTAAAATGTTCGTCTTTTGGTAGTTAAAGAAAACGCTGCATGACGCTAAAGATTACTTAATTCGCACACGTCTTAATTTATATCTTTTATTTTTTTGTTATTTATGTTACAGTGTCCCCAATTAGCAACACCATGCTAAAGTTACACGACACTTGAATAAAGTTAATTTATTTGTTTTTATTTTTATTTACGCTATCGATAGCTCACCCTATTTAAATTGAAACTGACGTTGTTATTGACGTTTCCTTTTTTTAGTTATGAGTCAGTTGATCCCTCTAAAATAGGATCTATGTATTGTCTTTTCTTCCGTAGTGTTAAAAATTTATTGAAGGATGTAGCCGTCACTTTGATAAAGACGAAGAATTCGTATTTCTAGATAGAATCTGGCACAAGAGGCTGGTCCTCGCCAGCACAATAGTTATGAACATAATGTTTGAACGTAATGTTTTCATTCTTAATAAAACAATTAAGAATTGTGTTTGTTTGGTATGGTAACTTGAGTTGAAAGGGGAATTTCGCAAAAAGCATTTGTTTAGGAAAGCGCGGTATTAGGTGTACGGTGTTCTCTGTTGGGAGCCTGATACCCAGTTCTTTCCTCTGTATCAAATCTTACCCAGGCCTTATTTGGTATGCTTCGCGCTCCCTATGCGCTCCTTGCGTGTAAACTTCGTGTGAAAAGAGAAAGCCTTAGGAATATTCTGAGAATTGGGTTGAGTGCAGTAGAGATTGCGTTTTCACTATCCCATTGCCTGAGGCTTCTCTACTTCACTTAATCCGCATTGCAGTTGCATTCAGACTTCTCGGCTACGTCTGATTTCCCTCTGTAACCAGCCGTCAATTGACATAATAGCCGCGAAAAGATCGAGCAGGAAACAATGAGAATCTAAGAAACGATGCCATGGTCTTTCCAGCTCAACATGTGCCAGCTTGAATCTTCTTACTGATAATTAAACAATGGCAGTGAAGTGCAAGTAAAGCAGTTTTCTTCAAGAAAGGAAATGAAAGTAATGCGATGAATCAGCGATTCACTAGTGACATACCTCCATGGTGACTAAGCACACCGTACACTGAAACGAGGTGAAATAGATTTGACATAAATTTGGCAGAATGCCTTTGCATACATACATATAATTGGAAGACACAATGACTCCATCGATGCGTAAGAAACAATCCACCTATGAGAGAATTGTTCTCATGCCAACTTTCTCCAAAACACTGTTTTGCTTACTTGTCTTAAATTGTGTTTTCGCTTGTATTCCACAAATCTAAAGCTGAGGTTTTCTCGATCCCGGCTTGGAATTTACAGTTATCTTCTTGCAAGGGAACCAGGCGTTTGCTTGCTTCTGGGAGTTTCCCCTGAGTTATTTCCGTCTTGCTTTAGTAATTTCTTTTTTCTCAACTGAATAGAAAGGTCATCGGAGATCAATGGCAGGTATTGCAACTACTAGCTTTTTTAAATTATGCCGCCGTTGTGTTCCGCTTCAGGCCTAAAAAGTCATTGATCAACTTCGGGAAAACACCGACAACAAATCACAACATTGCACTTTCAATTCTGCTCCAGAATGAGTCCATCTTCCCCGCTCCTTAACACTCGCCAATTTCGTACTCCTGTCCAGTTATAGCAGCTGTGGATAAGGGTGATAAATTTGTTAATTTGAAGGAATTCGTGAATCGAACGACGCCATCAAGGAAATACTTGGGCACTTGCCCGACGTCTAACTGCAGGTAATCAGGTACGCATATTGGCATTTAAAGGTATCTATGTTGATATTTAAACGACTATGCTACGCTAATTTAACGTCAATTAGGAACCTACAATCCAAAATTGTCAATTTGCTCGTTTTGATCGTCATAACTGACATGAGAGTGAACGCCGGGCATCTTCCATGCGATGTCCATTTTCTACCTACGGAAAGACAAACCCGAGACAGACCGCACACAGTTCATGGGAGGAGTTCTTCTGAGCAAGAAAATTGTCTAAAAATTTAGTTCAGAATAGAGACTATCGTAAAATTATTTGAGTACAACATGTATTTCCGCACGAGGAAGGCATGGCTTGGGTAGGGTAGGGAGTTGTAGAGTTCGGGGGGAGGGGAGGGTTCCAACAAACTCTTCTCAGACAAACCAATCAGTCCGAAGCACGGAAATAAATAAATCCAACATGACTATGTAACGAGCCAGTCAGTTTGATTGGTAAAAAATTTCAAGTTCTCAAATCAGTGCATGTCTGGGCTTAGTTTCTTGCGCGGCGAAATTTCTTAATGAACAAACCGTTTGAAAGTAACAGAAGTTTGTCTTTGGTTTTGTTAAGATGTCATGCATGTTCCCTTTAGGTCAATAGATCGAAATTTCTGTTATCATAGAACAACAAAAGTAAATGGTTCATCAGTCAACAGAGCTTATCTCAGTCAGAACTGACTCTGAATTCGGTAAAAGGTCACTTTAGACTAGCGTGACAAAGATGCCGCCTGAATTTGTGATCTAGCCTTGAATCTTAGGAGACAGTAGTTATATAAATAGTCAAATGGATAAAGGGGGTAATTTTCTAAATAAACTCTGGTGCTGCGTCGGTGGGAGAGTATAACAGGGTAGTTTAGCATTATCAAATGGGTTGATAACGTGAATTGGCCACCGCAAAGAGTTTATAAGCTGACACTTCGAGTGTTAGCCCTTCGTCAGAGCGACTGCGGTACTTACTTGAGGGTGCTTACTTCGCCCTGACGAAGGGCTAACGCTCGAAAGTTCGGCTTTTAAACTCTTTATATACGGTGGCCAATTTACGTATAAACTCAGCTGATAATACTAAAGCACCATGTAAATAGTCCGGCACACAATTCATTTGAAGTCATGCTTCGTTGACGGCTTCTTCGTTGTTAAAAACAATTAGTGGCTTTCAATTCTTTAAGCATCTGTTTAACTTCGCTTCTCCGGTACGTTCTAAGAACTACTTGATTCCCATAATCCTCGTATCTATGTAAAGTTGGTTCAATTGCGTTTGTTTTTCTTAAAGAGGTGAAACTGACCCCTCACCGGGAATAGGTGTCTATTTTGCCGTATCCCGCATTGAATTCTTCAAAACTAAACGTTACTTTCTAGGTCCAAAATTCGGCCTAAAAGTTAAGATTAAGAAAATGAAGGGCTCGTCGCTCTCTGGTAGTTTTCCTGCGTGATTACTTTTTCAGTGTTATGGATATGAAAATTTATTGGTAACTTGACAGTTATATACTGAGGTCATTATGGATTACTAAGTATGTTGACAGGACGTGCCAGCTCTCTTTGGGAAGCCCTTGATTTCATTCGCTCAGAGCTTAGAATTAATGGTTATTACTGCATACCACTATCGTGGGACAAACCCCAACTTCCCTTATGAGAGTAATACGGAAATTGCATGAAAAGTCTCTTCAGCGCGCCGTTTTTTCGCCGTTCCTCAGCTTTTTTGTTCTAGTTTCCTACTTCTGTTGCATTGGAGCAGCAGTTGATCGAAGGAAAGAGGTAATAATTTTGTTCACAATGATTTAAAGGAGTTGATTGAAACAGCACTAGGAATCGAAACACGTCATCGAGAGGACACTTGCCCATTTGCCTTTTCTGACTGAAGTCAGTGGTACAAAAACTGCATTTATTGGATCAAGTTTGGTACATGAAGAACTGAACAGCGCTAAGTTAACAGTAATTAAGAACTTAGAATTGAAGCGTGTTATTTCGTCCATTTAATCTGACATAACTGACCATTCAAAGCATTCTATTTTAGGAAATAGCGCGGGACTTCCTCCAAACAGACCACGAAAAGATCTGAGGAATTGTTATTAGCTTGAGGAATGACTCAAATACCGGGTAAGCATGGAGCTTATCACAAAATCAAATATTCGCTTAATTTATTTCCTCAACGGCAAAAGGGTCTGCTGTGGGTTGGGGAAGGAAGCTTAGGTGTTTAATAACGGTGGAGAGGGAGGGGGAGAGGGGGAGATGGTGCGTCGAAACTTGTCCCGAGCGTCAACAGACTAAGCTGTCTGAAGCGTGGAAATTAAAACACCTTACGTCACAACATCACCGGTCAGCCACTATTACTGGTCTTAATGTTCATAAATCATTGTGTGTCAAGGCCCAGGTTCTCTAGCTGTGGTAATTATTTGTGAGTCAATATTTCATCACACACCTTTGTTATAAACAGGGAAGGCTTTTTTTTTTTTTTTCATGGCACTTGCACTTTCGTTTTTAGAAAGTAATCGGATCTTTTTAATGGGGATTCAATGGAATTCAATGATTCATCATCTTTAAATACTCGTAACCAATGTGCTTTGCCAACTCACCCGGAAGCTATAAGTCGTAACGTAAAAAAGTGAATTTTGGCAAAGAATCACATAACTAGCTTCCCAAAGGTAGTTTTATTTCGTAATCTAGCCTTGAACTGCGAGCAAAGAAATTGGTTTGAGCAAAATCTTAAGCCTAGACATATTTACATATTTAAGCATGTTTATTTTGATCGTGTAAGTTTAGTTTACACATCACAGCTGTCGACCTCATCGCATTCCTTTAAATATTATCAGAACGAACATCACACACAGGCAATCTACATTGCTTTTCACGGGAATAAGTAGTCCCGCATAGCTCATGTGAAGTCGTTTTTTTCTGCGTCTATCTTAATCATTCCCTCGATCCTTTTACATTATAATGTCGCGTAATAATTCGACAGCTTACATTGAAATTGTCACGCATGAATGTTCGAGGCGACACAAGATTATATTTATTTTTATGATGATCCTTTTATCAAGAGTGGTGCCAGATATATGTTGCGTTTTACATCATTTAGGAAATTCTTTTGTGTCGCTGGATCCCTTACAACCTTTAACCGAGGCTCTCGTTCACGAACGCAACCTTCACGAGGATATTGGAAGCAGATGGAAAGAATTGGCCCGAAATTTGGGTTTTAAGAGGGTGGTAGTGGAAGCCATACAGAATGAAAATCAAAAAGAAAGTGAACGTTCCTTCCATCTTTTGGTGCGATGGATAGAGAGGGAAGGCCAAGAAGGTGCCACTGCCGGAAAATTAGCTGATGCATTGAAAAAAACCGAACTGAAAAATCTGGCTGAAAGATTGATTGGTATGTGCCATAAAGAGAGCTAACCCCTTCCGTCAAAGCACCCTTTTTCAGTAAGCCCCTTAAAAGTAAGGGCGCCTAAATCTACAAAGTCCTTTTTTGATGAAGCAACCAACTCCTGGCCCTTTTTGTGCTGAAATTACCTTCTTCTGTTTGTTTGATAATAAATTGAATTTGCGAAGAAAAGTTTAGCCTGAGCTGGTTCTAATTTCTACGCCGCGACACAATAATTTCTTAGGCAGCGAGAAAGTCTGATTCCTTGAGTAAAGCAAGCCTGCACGAGGGTTTGCAAGGGGTTTGGTATTAACTATATGATTATTAGTGCCAGTCCTCCGGCAGACCTCCCTCCGACTCTTCACAAATCTCCTCACGCGCCGCGGGCGAAGAAACGCTCGTCCGGCAGCGCAAATAATAAAGGCATGCTGGCAAATTAGGGAAAGTTACATGTTAGTCATTCATTTTTTACAGGTCCTTCCAATGGTAGAAGAACGATATTAATTGAAATTACTGGGACCTTTGAACTTGATGATGGCAACGAGGTTTGTTTGTGTTGATGTAAACATTTTTCCTGTTCTCCCAGAGTCTTATCTGTTCGCTGAACTTGTTATTTGACTTTCTCAGGTTATGTTGGGTATTGACTGCTTTGGAAAAACTATATATTTCATGTGGCCGGAGAGTGAGGGAAAAGAATTTAAGACATCTCCTGAGGTAACCATCAATTTTACAGATCCACATTCTCTCTTAAAACAGTTATCTCTTTCGACATTTTTGATCGAAGGTGAAATCGACGACAGTTCTTCATGGTTTATAAAGCATTATTTAAAATGGTGCATCAGCAGGTTTTTTCTGGTGGCATTTCCATGTTATTCGGTATAATAAAAGAGAAAAACCATGTGAATGACGAACAAATATCAAAAGTTTTATGAAATTGGTATCTGATGGTTGTTGATTTATTTTATACTGCGCTGTAGGAACTGAAGAAGTGTGTTGACGCTAGCAGTCACATTGCTGCTGAAATTGTTGAAATTACAGGAGAAGTGGATGCATCGGCAGAAAAGGCGAACAATGGTTTTACCGAAGAGGAGCAAAGAATTTTCAGCCATTTGAAAGATCTCCAAGGAAAGCTGATGGACATTGTGAAGAGTTTGGAGATATCCGAACTAAAGGAAGATAATTTTGCGAGGACCAACAAGCTGGATTTCATCGAGAAAAATAGCCGAACTCTACAGGAGCTGTACACCAAAGTAACCGGAATGACAAGGGAGGCTTGTTATTGTAACTATATTCTTAGAAGAACTTTCTACGACTTTACCTACCACAGCCTGAGATCAGTGCATAATGATCTTAGCGCTCGTCTGCAGGACCTAGAGTCGGAAGAAGATGACATGTCAGAGGAAGAGAAAAGAAATCTGAAAAACCTAATATCGTACCAAAACGGCAGAAAAAATCAAATTATGCAGCTGGAGAAACTTTGGATACGGCTTTTCTCTCCGGTATGTTATCAAGGAAAAAATTATCTACGCCACTCTGTAAGATTTTTTCAAATGCTCAGATGTTCATTGTTAATTTAGTATGGATGGGTCATTGATAAGTTTGGGCTTAGCCAAAGTACTGAAAATTAGTAGACCAAAGAAAACTTTACTCGATGACTTACAATTAATACGAGAGGATATTTTGCTCATTGCTCGCATTTTTCATCGTGAATAGAGCAAAATGTCCATCCGTTTCATATGTTAAACCATCGAATAGGGTATTTTGGGTAATGCACTGTATTTTCGTCGTTGTAAACTATCTACGAGCTTTAGAAACATCGAGTAGGCGTGGGTGCTCGCATTTTTCCTCGCCCTTACGGGGCTTAGAAAAAAAACTACGTAAATAGCAAAGTGTTGGCCCGTTCTATACATTTGAAACCATGGAATAAGTTATTTAGGTAATGCATTGTATTTTCGTCGTTATGAACTGTTTACGAACGTTAGAAACATCGCTTACATAGACGAAAAGTCACATGCTGGATTTAGCAATGCACTATGCTATCGCCTGATTATGTTTTTATCATCCCTATTTTGTTCTTTTCAATTTACAGGGAGATGAGTTGAAGAAGTCTGAAACATCTCCTTCTCAGAGACAAACTCCGATACCATTTCAGGTGTTTAAAATTTTTCCTGTTTTTATACATACTTTTATTTTCGATAGTATTCTGGACACTCTAAAGATTGTGATTCCTTCCTTTGCAGTTTTTTCTCAATGGCAGATTGCACGAGCGTCTGCTCGAGTTTCAATTAGTTTTGACTGATCTATTTTTAAGAAAAAAGTTCCTCTGACTGATAAAAGTGGATCTGTTGTTGACTGGCTTCAATTTCCTTTTAGACAGAGCAAAAAGAGTGAGGGAATCACTGTATAACAAGATCAATCTGCGAAACGTTCCCTGCCCTCTGCGAGGTTATTTGGAAATGACCGTGTTGTAATGTGTATTCAATTTTCTCTTTTGAACAGAAACCCAGATCAAGTACAGAAGGGGCCCGGCCTAAAGAGTTTATAACAAAGGTAGGAGATGTTTTAATCCATGTATAGAATCAAAGCAACCCTTAACAAAGCCCTTAGACAACTTGAGTTACACCTGTGTAACAAATGTTGTGATTACTGATTTTATCTAGCAAACATTAACCATAATTCAAAAGTAAACGAGAGTAGGATATGAGTTTATCGTGATGGGTCGACTCAACATTCACCAACCAGAGCGTGATAATTAATAACAATAATTCATGTATAGAAATGATCCACGCACGTGAGCTGCAATTGAAGCCATTGCAGAAAAGAAGTCGGACAAAAAATTCGGGCTTCGATGGGAATCGAACCCAGGCCTCCCATATACTAGGTGGGCGCCACTACCAGCTAAGCTACAAAGCCATATTTTGGGAGCAAGCAAATTTTGGTGCATTCCTCCTTCCCACAGAGGAATCTGATCACTACTTAGATAAAATGAATTAATGTAAATTAAAAAATAGGTTATCTTAACTCTAAACTCTCTTAAACCCTTCTACGAGGATCATTTCTTCACTCAAATTTCAGCCCCAGCTCAAAGACGAATTTATTCAATTAAGACTATAAATAACAATAATGACAATGAGTAATGACTTGGAAAGCAAAATTTTCCTGTGTCAAACGTAAGATACTTGCATTGCATTAAGGGAATTATCAACAGAAGCATATTTCTTTGAGCCTACAAAATTAAAAGATGTTCGAGGATCCATAAATATGCTCCCGTCAAAATCCTTTTACATTATGATAACTGGACTTTCGTGCCGCGTTGTAAGAAAGTACAAGTGTAACCGTCTTTTTCTTGAATAGGTGCAGTCAAGGATCCCCTGGAAAAAGAAGAAGACACAAGACAAAGAATCTTGTGTTCTTATGTCTTATCAAGATAAGAAATCTGAGGACGAGAAATAATTAATTGGCTGTCGTCGTTAATCTGAGATAGGTTTATTATCTTGCCTGAAGAGAACACTCCGGAAATAGATTTTCACTTGATAGACTAGTTTTTTTGTGATTAGTTCTACTTCCCTTGTTAGCTGGTGGATTTTGTGCTCAGTAAGTGGCATGGCCAGAAGTTAAGACCAAAGGGTTGAGGTATTGATGTGCCACTAAACAAGATGTTTTACCCGATGGGTAGTTAAGATAAACCACAACGCCTCGGCTTTGCTTTGTAAACAGTCAACTGAACTGGTTCACCATCCTGCCCCCCCCCCCCTCACCCCTCCACCCTTCTCCCCCCTTCCTCGGTGGTATTTAACCATCACAGGATTACAGTCTCAACAACTGAATAAGTGCAGAGGCTTTAAATATATCTCATTTAAGTTTTTTTGTAGAAGAGCGCTCCACAATCTCTATATGGACGAATCAAATGAAAATAACGAGTCCCAATGCCATTCTGTGTAACAACTGGCAGGGGTCAGGTAGAGTTTAAATTTTTCACCTTTTATAATATATTTTATTGAATGTTAACCACAGTACTTTTGCGATGTAACAGGTTGATAAGATATGATGTATTGACTCTTTTTTACATGAACCATTAAGTTAAGATTTTAAATCAAAGTCAGATTTTATTGGGTTTCAACTATGAAGTTGAGTGTCTCAACTTTAATGTTCTTGTCTAACGTCCATTAATAATTTCCATTAATGGAGGTGCTGTTCGTCAGCTGACCTTGTCTAGGTGTACATTTACGTTCTTGGTTTGGCTTTTACACTCAAAATTTGATTGTTTTATCGAAAGCATTAAATAATATTTCGTTCATCCGTGAGATCCTCGTGAAAGTGCCTAGGTTAGGGTTCTGTTGACGATCGATGAATGTTTAATCTTCCAAGGTCAGTTGGCCTCTGCATGCTTACTCATGCCTGCCGATAGCGAATTATAAAGTTAAGTTAATCAGAGTCAGTCAGAATCAGAGTTGTTAAACCGAACAGAGGTGAGAAATGTTAATCCGCTGCTAGCAGAATTGTGGCGGAGCAAAGAGAATGATAAACATGATAGACTCTTTCCAGCACTGTTCATCTTTTAATCATTAAATTTCGTCAAAGATAAATATTGTGGTTAACAGGTTGTACTTGCAGCCCAAGAAGAACTTTACAGAGAGCTTACTGGGTTGGACCCAGCGATCCTGCGGGCGGACAATTCAATGTGATCTCGCAGTACGAATTGTTTAGAAAATGTGTAATTATCATGAAACTGATAAGCCGTCATTTTTATTGTTGATCATCTTCATTCTATGTGATCCTTTACCATTCTCGTTCCTTTTGCTTCATTTTACCTCTTTGCTATGTTTTTTCAATCTCTCAAACGATTATTTATAATTGTAATAAAAGACAATTTCGTATATGACGCTTAAGATTACCCTCAATATCTTGAGTCGTCCCTTCTACAATGTGAAGCCATTTTTTTCTTCTATTTTTTCAGTATTTGATTAAAGTCCGTAAGTTCCTGTAAAACAGGGCCTATTTATCATCCCTAGTTCCCGAGTTTTTTTAATCAACAGAGGATATACTTTTCATTTTGATCAAGACTAGGAATTCGCCTTTCTAGATAAAAATCGACACGAGAGGCTGATCCTCGCTAGCACATTTGTTATTATTACTACTATTTTTGTAAATAAAACAATTGAGAACTGAGTTTGTTTGTTAGTGTAACTTTAATTGATATTTGCAAAAAGAATTGAACATCAGTTGATGAGAGATTGGAGCACGTTGAATTTGTGTGTGCGGTGTCAGGCAGTAATCCCTTTTAGGAGCCTGGTACCCGGTTCTTTCCTCGGCATCAAATCTTACCCAGGCTTCTTGGGTATGCTTCGCGCTCCCTATGTGCACTAAAATGTATTAAGTTAAAATATGAATTGGTAGAGGAAAGGTTGCTTATTTAACGCATGGTTGGTTGTGCTTCCGTTTGGAAACTACCCTAACATCGTATTCACAGTCGTAAATCAGCATTTTTACTTTAAATTTTTGAACTTGTTTACGTTGGAAAGACACTCATAATTCATGATAACACCTGCACTTGGTTAATACGGAAATTACCTCACTTAATCCGCATTGTATGCAATTGCATTCAGACATCTGCCCGGCTTTGTCTGATTTGACATTGACATGACATTGACATTAGAGCCACGAAAAGATCGAGGAGGACAGAATGAGAACTGGGGAAACCATACAACGGTCTCTCCAGTTCGACATGTGCCTGGTTTAATCTTCATACTGACTTATTAAAATATAAGGATGATTTAGCAATTGCTGTAAAGTGCATGTAAAGCAGGTTTTCAAATAAAGAACTGAAAGTGAAAGCAAAGTGACGAATCAGCGATTTCTAAGAAACTAGAAATTAAAGAAAAGGCAATGTTCTCATGCCAAAGTTCTCCAAAACACTGCTTTGCTTGTTTTTTTCCAATTTGTATTTCCGCCTGTATCCCTCAAATCTAAAGCTGTGTTTTTAATCTCGGCTTGAAGTTTACAGTTATGTTCTTACAAGGGGATTTAGCGTCAGCTTGCTGACCGGGAGTTTTCCCTGATTTATTTCCGTCCTGACCAGTAAATATTGAAGGGAGGGGTCATCGGAGAACAATGAAGGCATCCCAAGAATGATACTTTTAAAGAATTTTTCCGGCTTTTTCTCTCTCTCAGGGCTAGAGTAGAGCGACATTCGCGAGCAAGTTTTGACCTTGGGAAAAACACCGACATCATGACATTGCAATTTCAATTCGTTCGCCGCTCCAGAATAAGCCCATCTTCCCCGCTTCTTAACATTCGCCAATTTCATACTCCTGCCTAGTTGTAGCAGCCGTTGAAAAAGGTGATAAATTGATTGATTGGATGCGAACGACGCCATCAAGGAAACTTGAGCGACGTCTAGGTGCGGGTAATCAGGTACGTATATTGGCATTTACCGGATCAAAGTTGTTATAAAGACAACGCATAGCGCTAATTTCACATCAAGTAAGTGCTTAAAATCAAAAGTTGATGATTCCTTCGTGTACATCTGATATAAATGGCTGTTGGAAAAGTTATCTCTTCAGGAGAGAAAGACTAGACGTAAAGCCCCCTCCATTTCGCATTTTCTGCCTAAGAGAAGACAGACCCGCGATCAATTCCTTAGGACTTGTTGTGAGATGGAAGAATTTCTCCAAACTCTGGAAGCATAGGAGTGAAGATAATCGCAAAATTAAATATTTGCTGAACGTATTTCCGCATGGGCAAAGCGCATGGTAAGGTGTGTAGGGTAGGGACGTGAGGAGTAAAAGGAGGGGGGAGGTGTGCGTACAAACTAATCCCGTCAAATTGCTCTCGGAAGGGCGGAAATCAAGTGACTAAATCTCACATCAAAACACAATAATTCAATCAATATGATTAGTTAAAATTTCCTCAAAGCAGTGAATTTCTATAGGCTCAGTTTCTCTTGGTATATGATCTTTTGTGAGGCAATGTATCCTAATCAATTGTGTTTGACATTATCAGTTGTGTCTATTCCTATGTCACAATGGTAACGCCACGCATATCACAACACTCCGAAACAGTTTACTGCGTTGCCCTAGATTATATCCTCTACCCTTTTTCTCAAAACCAGTGCCGAATTTTCTGCTCTAAACTTTGAGTCATCACATTGAAACGTTTCCTTCATTACGGGAATTTTTCCTGACTTATTGCTCAGTGCTTATGACTATAAAAATTCATCGGTGACTTAATAGGGAGGTCATCACGGATCAGTAAGAAGTTTGATAGATAATCTGTTTCCGTGGTAAGCCTCCGTTTTCATTCGATCATAGAAGGTCATTATAGCAAGCCTAAGTAATGGGACAAACACCGAACTCCACTTCAGCGTATTGAACGAGGAAGTTACCCTTAAAATCTCTTTAGTATGTCTTGAAGAAAGGTTCTTCGCCGTTTCTTAATTGGTGTTTCCCAATTTCATACTCCAGTAGCGTCGGGGCTGTCGTTGATCGAAGGGAAGAGGTAATCATTTTGTTCAATTTAAAGGGGTTGAAACAGCATTATGAATCGAAACACGTCATCAAGGAGATACTTGGACATTTGCCTCTTCCAACTGCGGGCAGTGGTTAAAAACTGGTTTTATTGAATTAAGTTTGGTACATAAAGGACTGTACTGCAATAATTTAACGGTAATTGCAAACGTAGAATTGAAATGCGTTCATGTATCGTATCTTTAACCTGACATAAATAACCATTTAAGCCATTCCTTTTCAGGAAAGAACGAGTCACTTCCGCCACGAATTTTTGTGCCTCCGACAGTCCGCCACAAATTCTGAAGAGTTGTTGTAAACTAGAAGAATGGCTCAAAAGTTATGTCACGGTAAGGATGGAGATTGTTGCAAAATTAGATACTCGGTACAGTCATTTTCTTATGAGCCAAAAGCTTGTAGCAGGTATGGTAGGGAGTTGAGATATTGATGGGGGAAAGAGGAGAAGGATGCGTTTAAACTCATTTCGGACGAACTAGGCTGTCTGAAGCGTTGAATTTTATACATTAAGCATCATAACATCACAATTCAATCGTTATGCTCGGTCAAAATTTTCTCAAATAAATGCATGTTTAAACTCAGTTTCTCTCGCTGAGGTCATTACTCGTGTTTTTTTATACATTTTGTTGTTTTGTTGTTTGAAACGTTTTGTCGAATCACGAGTGCTTTTAGCAAACAGATCGGAATTTCCTTATCATTAGACAAAGTAATTTAATGGGTCGTTGCTTTACTGAATAAATTTGAGCCAAAACTACCAAAAACAACTTTAAATACTTAAAAGCAATGTACTCTGTTAACCCACCCGGAAGCTATTAGCCGTCAAACTAAAAATTGAAGTCGGGAAAAGGAAAGTTAAACATATTTTGCATTCGTAATCTAGCCTTAGATTGTGAGTAAATGCCTCGAGTAAGACCTTCAGCTTTGGCATTTTTACCGATTTAATCATGTTTAATTAACCTTATTATTGTGCTTGACGTCTTGCGGCTTTCGACATTATGTAATGCTTTTAGAAACTGTTAAATCACTCAACACACACCAGTAATCTACTACTTTTACTGTGTCTTTTACGAACATTTACGTATTGACTCGAATACGAATTGCTGCATCGACCATATGACGCAGTTCTTTCGGCGTCCAACTCAATCGCTCTATCGTTTAAGTGATCTTCGTGACTGCTGTTTTTCATGCTTGCGTTTTAAATCTAAATCCTCGTTCAAACGGCCATGATAGTCGATGATAGTCGATATTTTAAACTCTCATTCACCATCATTGACTATTATGTTTGCGTTCAAACGGTTCATGAGAATTGACGAGGGTTGACAATCACGCGGTGAGATCGCGTAATTGTAAACAAGTATGGCGCGTTAAGGTCAGCAATTTACCCCCTTTGGACAAGCATGTATTCAAACGGATTAATTGCGCAACAATCACCCTCCAGTATCAGGCTCCAGGAGTTTCGAAGTTCATTTCGCGTCAGTTTTCACATCGAGCGTACAACAGAGATTTTACATTTTCTTCCCACCCACCCGCCCATCCCTGGTGATTTTGCGTGGTGTTGTAGGATAGCAGAGAGGTTTATTGGGCATATCACTGGCTGTTGTTTACTTTTAGTTCGTATTCTTTAATTTTTTTTATAATTTTCTCTCTGTGCCAAAAAGCGAATTGTGTTTTATTTGTGTCAAGGGGCGTAGTTGGGGAATTTCAGTAGGATTTGAAATTTTAGTCAAGAAGTTGCGTGTTGAAGATACTGAAGCCTACCGAGAGATGACAAGAATGAGCTGCGAGACATTCTGCGAAATTTTGACGGCTACTTTAGTCATTTTATCATATTTCGGTTTGAGCCCGTTTTTGGAAAAACTGCTGACCGAAAAATATCATACAATATCATTTGCTCGTTCAAATAGCAAAAACTAGCATCAATTATAATGTCGAATTTGAAAATGTCCAAACTACATGATAGTTGATGATAGCCGATGATAGATCGTGTTCAAAGGCGCGAGATCAGTTGAAACTAGAATCACCTATCATAGCCGTTTGAACGGGGCTTAACTACGCGTGATTCTTCTTTATTAGTTCATAAACATATATTTTTCTGAATCATCTTTCTTGTCCGAAAACCTACCATATGTTTAAATACTAGGGGACGGCTTGCTCCCTCCTGCCGTTTATTTGCAGCAGCTCCAGTTTGTTCTAATTAAAATCATGATCCTTCTATCAAAAGTAGGTGCCTGATATCCAGCTTTTACTTTTCCCTTCAGTAGAATCAGTTGTGTCGCTGGATCCATGTCATCCGTTAACCGAATCGGATGTCTATGAACGCGGGCTTCACGAGGATATCGGAACAAGATGGATGGAATTAGCTCGAAAATTAGGTTTTCAAAAATCGGTGATTGATTCAATAAAGAGTGATAATCCATCTGAAAAGGAACGCTGCGTCGATCTCTTAGTCCAATGGATGGAAAAAGAAGGCAGGGATGAAGCCACTGCTGGTAAATTGGCTGAGGCATTAACAGATATAGGACTCAAAACTCTGGCTGAAAAATTACTCGGTATGTGTATAGAAGTAAATGGTGCTTTTCGCGCACGCTGATTGGCTAGCTTAGAAGTGAATAGCAAGCACTATTCACGTCCGAGCAGTCGATGGGATAAAATCGCGCGTCAAGAGTTTTTAAAATTTTCTGACAATTTTTTGGTATATTGAACTGAAAAAATAAACTATTTTTTCGTATCTGTGGGGCATATACTAAAACGATTATTTACTTCAGTGTAGTGAATAATTTTTAAAGACACAGAAAGACTGATTTTAAACCACTACAAATGCTTCGAAGTAAATTCGGTGTATAGTAATCCGTTAAATAAAAATAAATTCAACTGCTGTTTAAAGCTTCTGATCAGTTACACGTTTTGAGCGCCTATTGACGAAAGAACCTTGGCAGTTTTTGAACGTGTTCATGGTCTTTTCTTGCCTGCCAACTGCATTCGTGTCACAAATTTGCAGCTGTGTTATAGGTCACATTTTGTCGTACAAATTATTATAATTATGCAACTGTACTTGTTCACAGACGCCATATGCAAAATAAAGGCTCCTTTAAGCAAACTGAGGTATATTTTTTTGTCTGCTTGACGATATTTTGACATTGCAAGAAAAAGTAACTTTTTGATCACCCGTTTACTGCAGGTCCATTAAATGGCAGAAGAAAAATAGTGATTGAGATCACTGGAACAATTAAGCTTAATGATAACTACGAGGTGTGTTTTTGTCCATTTATTTGAAAGAGATATCCTTCTCTTCCTCGCTGAGATTCTTAAATCACTAAAAATTTATCACTTGATATTCGCAGGTCATGCTGGGTATCGACCGCTATGGAAAAACTATATTTTTCATGTGGGAGAGTGAGGGAAAAGAATTTAAGACATCCCTCGAGGTAAGCATCAATTTTACAGATCCATATTCACTCGTTAAACAGTTATCTCTTTCGACATTTTCGATCGTAAGTGAAAACGACGACAGTTCTTCATGGTTTATAAAGTGTTGTTTAAAATGGTGCATCAGTTCGTTTTTGTCTGTCGAATTTCCATGTTATTCGGTATAATAAAAGAGAAAAACCCCGTAAATGACGCACAAATATCACAAGTTTTATGAAATTAGTATCTACTGGTTGCTGATTTATTTTATACTGCGCTGCAGGAACTGAAGAACTATGTTGACGCTAGCAGCTGCATTGCTGCTGAAACTGTTGAAATTACAGGCGAAATGGATTCATCGGCAGAAAGGGCGAACAATGGTTTTACCGAAGAGGAGCAAAGAATTTCCAGCCAGTTGGAAGATCTCCAGGGAAAGCTGATGGACATGGTGAAGAGTTTGGAGATACCCGAATTAAAGGGAGATGCTTTTGCGAGGACCAGCAAGTTGGATTTCATCGATAAACAAAGTCGAACTCTACAGGAGCTCTACACCGAAGTAACTGGAATGACAAGAAAGGCTTGTAATTGCAACCATACCCTTAGAAGAACTTTCTACGACTTTGCCTACCACAGCCTGAGATCACTGCATAATGATCTCAGTGCCCGTCTGGGGGACCTAGAATCGGAAAAAGATGGTATGACGGAGGAGGAGAAAAGAAATCTGAAAAACCTTGTATCGTACCGAGACGGCAGGGAAAGTCAAATTATTCAGCTGGAGAGACGTTGGATACGGCTTTTCTCTCCGGTATGTTATCAAGGAAAAAAGTTTTCTACGTCAAGTTACTCCACTCTGTAAGATGGATTGTCAGTATAAACCCCCTAGAAAGCGTAAATCGTACATGCTGTAATTCCAAGGGTAATTATTCCTTCTGCTCAAAACACCATTCTGCATACAATAAAATCAGTTCACTTCCTCTGTACTATTGAGTTTTTAGTACGTAGAACCCGTTGAGCGACTCCCTCAATTTTTTTTATGCTGGGATATTCATTGTTAGTTGAGTCTGGATGGGTCATCCATAACTGAGTTTGGGCTTTCGGAAACTAGAAGCCAAAATACTGGAAATTAGTGGACCAAAGAAAACTTTACTCGATGGCTTAACAATTAATACGAGTGGATATTTTGCTTATTACTCGCATTTCTCCTCGGCGTTACGGGGCTCAGAAAAAATACTACGTAAATAGCAAAATGTTGGCCCGTTCTATATATTTAAACCATGGAATAAGTTATTTTGGGTAATGCATTGTATTTTCATCGTTGTGAACTGTTTACGAGCTTTAGAAACATCGCTCACATAGACGAAAAGTCTTATGCTGGATTTAGCAATGCATTGTGCTATCGCCTGGTCGTGTTTTTTCATCCCTATTTTGTTCTTTTCAATTCACAGGTAGATGAGTTGAAGAAGTCTCAAACATTCCCTTCTCAGAGACTAACCCAGATAACAGCTCAGGTGTTTAAAATGTTTCCTTTCTTAAGATTGTGATTCCTTCCTTTGCAGTTTTCTGTCAGTTGCAGAATGCACGAGCGTCTGTTCGAGTTTCAATTCGTTTCGTCCAATCTATTTTTAAGAAAAAGTTTGTCTGACTGATAAAAGTGGAACTGCTGTTGACTGGCCTCAATTTTCTTTTGGACAGAGCGAACAGAAGGAGGGGAACACTGTATACAAAGATAAATTTATGAACCCTTCCCTGCCCCTCGCAAGGTTCTTTGAAAATGACCGTGTTGTAATGTGTATTCAATTTTCTCTTTTGAACAGAATTTCAGATTTAATTCAGATGGAGCCCAGCTAAAAGATTTGAAAACAAAGGTAAGAGATTTGTTATCCATGTGTAGAATCAAAACACCCCTTATAACAAAGTACTTAGAACATTAGAGACTATTTGAGTTACACCTGTGTACACAAGATAACGTAAACCAAGGTAAACGAGATTAAACGATACGAGTAGGCCGACGCAACATTTACCAACCAGAGCGTGATAATTAAGAACAACAATTTACGTATAGAAATGATCCTTAATTGTAGGTGAGCTGAAATTGAAGCAATTGCAGAAAAGAAGCCTGAAAATTGAGTTAAAGTTACTATAAAATAACTCTCTTTAATCCTTGAACTCTCAAGATCTAATCAGTAATTCTCCTTACTGTCTGCCAAATGACTCTCACTACGTTAGCCCGGAGAATTTGGAATCGGATCGATTCTTAATCCCATAATTGATATTTTTCTCTATTTTTGTCTCTTGCCTGCATGATATTCTATAGATATAGTAAGAAGAAATTATGTCTTGGTCACTCCCGGGAGTTAAAGGGTTAACTCTCTTGTGCTCTGAGTTGATTAAATTACTGCTTTTCTGCGAGTATCATTTTTTCACTTCAATTTCATTCGCAGCTCGAATCAGAATTTATTTCATCAAGATTGTGAATGACAATAATAGTGATAACGTCGATTATAAGTAAATATTTGGAAAGCAGAAATTGTTCTTATGCCAAACGTTAGATAATCGTTTTGTATGTCTGCTATAAGAGAATTATCAACAGGAGCATATTTTTTTGAGCCTTGCCTGTCGAAATTTAACCCTCTCACGTTATGATAACATGTTCGAGGAAGCCAATATAAAGGCGTTCTTCTTGAAGAAGTACAGCTGGTTTAGTAGTGGGCTCAACTATTTATATCCTAACATCAGTATGCATATTCTCCTTGCTGTTTGCCATAAAATTCCGACGGTACCGACAAGGAGAATTTGACAAAGAGCTTTTTTAGCTGGTGATCATTTCCTTTATTCTCATGACCTTAATGTTTGATTTAGCGTTGATACTGTAAGGAGAAATTAGATACTGGTCACTCATAGGGGTCTAGCCCTTTAACTCCCATCAGTGATCAAGAGAGAATTTCTCCTTACAGTGTCAATGCAATGTCAAGCAGACTAGTGATGACAATAAAGAGAAATAGCGATTAGGGGATTTTAGTTGATCCAATACCAAATTCTCCAAACTAACATCATAAGAATTTTGTGGCAGATATTAAGGAGAATTAATGATGAGTTCTTGGTAGTGAAAGGGTTGAGGGTTGATAAACTCCGACGATACGTTTCTCATTGCAGTCGAAGATCCCCAGGATAAAGAAGAAGAAAACGCAAGACAAAGCATCTTGTGTCCTTACTTCTTACAAAACAGATAATGACAGAAACCAAGATAAAGATTCTATGGACAAGATATAAGTATCAGCCGTCGTCGTTCGTCGGGGGATGCGATATTTACCTTGATTAGAGTGGATACTCTGGAGTTACATTTTCCGGCACCAGATAGTCTAATCTTTTCTTGGTTAGCGCTACATCCCTGGTTAAATTTTTCTCAGTTAGTGGTATGGACATGAAGTAAAGACAAAGGATTTGAGATCTGGATGATCCAAGTTCAAAATCGTCATTGAGTAGTCCCGATGGAGTCCAACGCCTTAATTTGGCTTTGTAAATAGTCAACTAGTTTGCTATCTACCTGCTCCCCCTCCTTTCCCCCTCCTCCCCCCCCCACCCTCAGTGGTTTACTTGCTGTACTCTCAGTAATCACTAGCTTATTTACTATGTGCGCATAATCTCCAACATAGGTGCAGAGTTGTTGGATATATCTTATCGAAGTTCTTCATTTAGTACAATACTCTACGGACTCTCTATGAAGAATCAAATGAATTGATTAGTTCCGATGATATCCTCTGTTAAAGACTGGCATAGGTCAGGCAGAAATTTTTTCCCAGAGAAATATATTTTTTTGAACCTCGATCGCTCTATACTTTTGTGAAGTACCGAGTGAGTTTGGTATGATTTATACTATATATTTGGCTCTAACTTAAGATTTGAAATCAAAATCCGAGGTTATTTTGGTTTCAACTCTGAAGTTGAATTTCTTTACTTTGATTTCATTGGCCCGCTTGCGCACTGAGGCCCACCGATAGTGAGTACTAAAGCGTACACTCTATAGTTTGGTTAATCAGAGCCATTCAATATTAGAGTTAAAGAATGGTTTCGAAGAAGAGAGGTAAGAGAAGTAAATCTGCTTTTAGTAGAATTGTAGCGGAGGAAAGAGAATAGTAAACGGTGTCTGACAGTATTTATCCTTTAATCATTTTCGTTTTTCTCAGAGTTCTTAATTGACACTGTATATTGGGTATGAAGTTTTTTCTTTTTTCTCCCCAATTGAGAGATTTAATTGCCGCATCTTTCCCATTTTGACAGGGAATCATTCCAGCAGTGTTTGATGTTTACCCGTTTCCATAGAACAAATTACATAATACTGATTCGTTCTGAATATCAGAATCGATTATGCCTACAAAGTGCATATAAAGTCGGTAAAAGAAGTTCAGTTTCGCCAAGTTTCCAGAACAGGGGCTCGAGCGCGCCCGCGACCAACGAGTGAGAGCAGATGGCATGCGCAATGAAAGAGAGCTCATTCTTGTTCCCAGGGTCTTCGCCCTCGGCCCTTAGGATAACGGAGGCTGTAATTAACGCAGGCCAAGTGCATATATGCTTTCGTAAGCACCTCCTCGTAATTCATGTGAGCGGATCAAAGTTGGCTTAAAAAAAAGATTCTTCAGCGCGAATTGATTATGAACTCATAGAATGACGCAAAGTGAGGGTAAGCAGATCTTTTATTGCAAACGGAAATCTCTATCCAAGCTCATTTGCGACTGGAGTGTGAAAATCGTAAAATTGCATCATTACATTGAGCCGATCATATATGAATGCTGAAAAAGAATTATCTAAACAATATAGACATTCGTTTTGAGGATGTTTTTTCCATGTCGTATACGAGGTAATTATTTCAACCACTAATCTTGTGCTTCGAAGGTTTATTGTGAAACATTAGTTGAAACTCATTCAAATAGTGTGACGCCATTGCGCATTTCACTGCGTTAATTATCCGTTTTAAAATCGTGTGTTAGCTTCAAAGATAGGTCTTAAAGCTTCATTATATTCTGTTGCATTAGGTCTGTCGTCTTCCTAATCAGATGAGCTTCAATTTGTGGTATAATTTTTTTATATTAGGCTGTGTTTATCAGAAACAATGTATGGAATAATAAAGCGCTATAGAAACAATGTAAACAGAGACAAATTTGCAAGTCGAGTTGGCTAGGTGATTGCTCGAGGATAGGTATATCAGGTGACTCTTAATCTTCTCAACACCGCAAAAAAACCCTTCAAACAACATCGTATCACCGCACGAAATGTTGACAAAATACTGAAACCGCAATTGGTTTTATACCCATCCTCCATGTATAATCTAAACACAAAACTAGCACATAACAAAGCCATACAACAGTCTTGAAAGTTCTGTAGATATTTATCTTTTAATTGTGATGGAACCTCGCTACACGTTTTATGTTTCATCGTCCAAATATTTATTTAGGTAGGTAGGTAAAATGTATTTATTCGGTATCAATTCATATCTACATGCTCTTCCATCCAGCCGTGTTTGTAAAAAAACAATAGGTTAATTACCATACCAATTATCGAATGATCTAGCTAGATTAATTATCTGTACTAGACTATACTATAAGCTATATAAAACTATTTCTTATCAACTATCATTGAATCAGACCGAGATTAAATAAATGATCCAGAAGAGGTTGGATTGTAGTTTGAAAGGGAAGGTGTGCCACAGAACTGCAATATTGAAAACGTTGTTTGCATGTCTAAGTGCTCAAAACAGAAACGATGAACTTTGAATTTGTCAGAACACTGGATGTAGCGTTAAAAATACTATTTAAAGAGACTTAAAAGATCGAAGAAAGATTAAGAGAGCCTTAAAAGAATAAATACAAGTTGCTTCAAACGCTTTCGTTCTAAAGAGCTCCTACCTGGGAGGTCAACCTTTAAGTCAGAGACAGTGATTAAACGTGCAGCCATATTTTTTCCGTTTTTTGAGTCTCTCAGACTGACACGCACCTTTGCTGCTCCATATGGAGATTCAATTCATAAATGAAGTTCGGAAACCTTTTGTACACAACCTCTTTGAAATTTTATAGTAATAGGATATCTAAATTTAGTCCAGACAAACACGATAAGGGTCATCGACAAGAAACTACAATCACGCTTATAATTTCGTTTACTTTACATCGGAACGAATGCAAGGTTTGAGATCAATGCAGTACCCCAGAAGAGGATGTTATTCAGCGAAATACCTTCTTTTGGATTCTCTAGCTATTTTATCAAGTCATTTAGCTCATGGGGTGATATTGTTTAGTAATCGCTTGAAAAGCGGGGGTGGAATGTTGTCTTTGGTTCTGATTCCAATCGCGTGATCATGTGATAATAACAGTTGACTCAATTGCAGCCTACGTATTTCCATTACATTGAGTTGCTGTTCATACAGTTTTGTTCTTATTTCGCATGACCAATAAGTGGCAAAATTTCTTATGCAGCGTGAAACTGTTTTCAAATGCATGTATGTTTTTTTAGGTTATTCCTTTGTTTCTTTGGATCCTCTTTACTCACTGACCGAGTCTGACATACATGATCGACAGCTCCCCGAGGGCATTGGAGCGAGATGGAAAGAACTGGCTCGGAAACTGGGATTCAAAGAACGTTCCATTGAAGTTATTGAAAGAGAAAATTGTTCTTACCACGACCGTTGTATCAAACTTTTGGTGCGATGGATGGAAAAGGGAGGTCAACATGGTGCCACTGCTGGGAAACTCGCTGAAGCTTTAAAGGCCATCGAACTTCAATCATTGGCCGACAGATTAATTGGTATTCTTAAATTTTTTCCACTCTTGGCTATATTCTGGTGTTTCATTTGTTTTTTCCCTATGCACCTCTTCGAAATGTGCTTTATGGCGCTCTAAAAAACGTTAATCTATTCAGCAGGTGACCATTGGGTATTAACACAAACTGGCTATTGATCTCATACACTAAAGTTGCCGTGATAAATTTTCAAGTCAGTTTTTCTTTTGGAACTGTTCTTGGACTAGGCGTCAAATTCTTATATTGTTCACTAGATACCAGAGGTGCCCATGTTTAAAGCTTAAATTTGAGGACCTTCTAATTTTGATGCTGAATATTTAACGCTGCAGGTCCGAGTGATAGAAGAATGATAATGATGGAGATTCAAGGAACATTTCGCCTTGAAGATGGGGTATGTCTTCACCCATAAGAGAGTGTGAATTTACTGATCTTTTGTTAGTACAGATGGGCGTATGGCTCAGTAATTGCACCCATTTTTTTTTAACAGACTGAGATCATCGTGGGGGTCGACAGCACCGAAAGGAGGACATTTTTCATATGGAAGAGTCCTGATAAAGAATTTAACACATCCGATAAGGTACTTTAAGAAACCAATTCTAGCAGGTTTTTTTTAATCCAACATATGTTTAACAAATCGATCCTATGTTGCGGTGGGTCTGTTCAGTAAAAGATCTCAGATGACGTAAAGATGTTGTAAGAACAAAAGAGTGGCTCACGAGGCTCAGCCGGGTGTGCTGTAATGTTCTTAAAACTCGGAGGGTGACGCTTTTGAGATGAATAGCACTTGCCAATCTAGCGAACCAGCCAACCAGCAGGTGCGAAAAGCACTATTCACTGGTTTGGTATGTATATTAACCCTTGAACTCCCAAGATCTCTTTAGTAATTCTTCTTACTGTCTACCATATAATTCTTGTGATGTTAGTTTGAAGAATTTGGTATTGGATCAACTAGTATTCCCCTAATTAATATATTCCTTTATTCTCATCACTTGCCTGCTTGATATCGTATTGATATTGTAAGGAGAAACTCTGTCTTGGTCACTTTTGGGAGTTTAGGGGTTAAAAGCAATACATTCCTGACAGTGCCTATCAATCAGTCTCTGTTTATTTCGAAGTTTTCGTTCCGCAGAATTGTTAGATTACTGAATGATAATGGAAGAGGATCACTTCCTTTCATAACTTGTTCACTTAGTTGCTTCAACTCCCCAAACAGGAACTGAAGAGATATTTTGATGCTACCTGTCAAATCACTGCACAGACACCTGAAGTTCTTGAGAAAATTATCGGAACATCAGTCAGAACATCAGTTGATGTCAAAAGCCGTAAAGATCCACCCAGCAATGAGCAGATCTCCTTTCAGACGCCTGAAGTTATGCAAGGAGACATCGCAAAACTAATTGAGGACAAAGATCGGAAAGAGATTTCTACCCAGACGCCTGACACTTTAGAGGAAACTAATGGGACATCAGCTGAGAGATGGCTGGAAGATTCACCCCTCAAAGTGCATATTTCGACTCAGACGAATGAAACTGAAGAAGTATTTAGAAAATCTGATGAAACGAAAGGGGAAGATTCACCCGCCAAAGAGCAGATTGGTGTTCAGACGCCTGAAGTTATGGAAGAAATCGTCGGAAGATCAACTGAAGACAAAGGCCAGAAAGAGATCTCGACCCAGGAGTCTGATACTGCAGAAAAATTTACCGAAACACCACGTGAGAAATGGAGGGAAGATTCACCCATCAAACAGCAGATTAGGACACAAAACCCTGTAGTTGGAGAAGAATACAGACCATCCGATGAAACGAACCTGGAAGATCCATCAGACAGAGTGCCGATTTCCACTCCAACGTCTGAAGGTGAAGTAAAAATTATCGGGACATCAGCCGAATTTCAAAGGGAAGGTTCATACCACAAGGAGATTTCCACTCAGACGTCTGAGGTGGAAAAAGGAATTATCGGAACACCAGTCGAAGATAAAAGCCTGGAAGATTCATTCATAGCAGTTCAAATTTACACCCAGACGGTTGAAGTTGTTGAAGAAATTATCAGAACACCAGCTGAAGAGATGGAACAGTTTTCCACTCAGGCGTCTGAAGGTGTAGAAGAAAACAGAAAAAAAAGTGAAGAGAAAGAGGAAAATTCATCTTCCAAAGCGCCAAAGATTTCCGAGAAGCTGAAGGATCTGCAGGAGAAGCTGTCGGTTGTAGAAGAAAATCTCAAGATACCTGAGCTGAAAGGAGAAGCTTTCCATGTTACTAAGAAATTGGATTTGATCTCCAGACATAACACAACCATTCAGGAACTGTACACACAAGTGATGGGCATGATGAGGGAAGCGTGCAAGTGCGATGAGTTCTTAAGAGAGAAATTTTACGATTTTTCGCATTGTAGCTTGAGAGCCGTGCATAATAATCTGAACAAAAGTTTCGCGGATCTACAATCAGAACAAGGGAATATGACAGCAGCAGAGAAGAGAAAACTGGACTCGCTGATCCTATCCAGAAAGGGCAGAGAGAAGCAGATTATGTACCTGGACAAATTTTTAAAGCGACTGTTCTCTTCGGTAAGTAAACATCACCAATGTCATTTAGCAGTTTATGTAACTGGCAGTCTCGTACATTTTGTTTTTCCGGTGATGAAGCTCTTTTTTATCAGTTGAAAAAAGAGTTATTCAGAGGTTAAATACCTTTTAATACCTGTTCTAAATTGCCAACGCCCACTCAAACCTGTCGCTTTTGTTCCCAATTGCAGGCAGCTGAACTCAAGAAATCTCAATCATCACCATGTGGGAGAGGCAATCGGAAAATATCTGGTGATTCCAAGGTAATAAATCACTGTTTAATCCTTGACCGAAGTAACGTCGAATGTAACAACTTAAGTATAATTGCTCTATTGATTATAGAGATGCGTACGCTCTAGATTGCGTCATATCTGGCCATAATCATATCGCAAGGAAGTGATAAGTGCAATAGAAGGAAAACTCAGTCGCGAAGAGCGCAAAAGACGCCACTGAGTTTGGTTTTCAAAATATAAAATGTGGAGTTTTTGCTGATTGAATTGTATAAACCTGTTTAAACTGCCTGTTTATCTTGATATGAGTAATCACAATTGTAACAAAAAAGGCGCAATCATTTACAGATTAACAACAGAATTCGAAAGCACTCGAGCAATTACAATAAAACAATTTTTTGCTTCAGGCTCGGTAAACATTGTTGAATAATCCCCTCGACTTCATCTCGGGGATTATAATCAACGAGTCTGAGGCGAATATATAATTGTTTAATACAAGAAATTGGCTTCATTTGGCACCACAACATGTTGGGATATTTGCCTGCGAACTCCATCTGTTTCAGGACAAAACAGTTTCCGAGAACTAACCCCGAGGTAAACTGTGCGCTTCCAGAAATTCGAGGGTATCTGCTCTGCTCCTACGAAATCGTCACCCCATTTCCCTTCCCAGTGAGGGGTAGTGACAAGTATAAGTTCAAGAGACGCGAGTCAAAATATTAAAAAGATTAAAATATTTCAGGGCTCTCACCAAAGGATTCATGGTAAATAAAAACGCTAATGTTGCGTTTCTCATTATATTTCAAGAACCGATTAAGGAAGCGGAAAACCCAAAGCAGAGTCCTTTCTTCATAATCAAGGGCACCTGTTATACGACGAGAGTAAAAGAGACCAATGCGGAGTTTGAAGTACCAGGCAGTGGATAGAGACGAAGGAATAGCCAGTTAAACTGTTAGTGGTCATTCGACTATTTCTAAATAATTCACTTTGAGGTTATCAAAATAATTTGACAGTAGTTTGGATTAGTGGGTAAACAATATGTTCTTGGTAAGAAAATGTCTTAAGTTAGTTGAAATGCCAGCCCCGATTCTTAATCACTTTGTGAACTTTTTCTACGATTCAATTCACAACTTAGTGGTAGTCACTGATAATAAGACCTGGTTATTTGACATGTGCCAATTGCTCACAGTTCTACCTCAAAGTTTGAAACCGATTCAATGTGAAACATTTCGTCGAGATGGATAGATTTCAAATATTCTTAACAATTATAAGAGACAACGTATCCATCCCTGCGTCATCCCTCATCCACTTAACCCTAAGTCTAACAAGAAGTGATGGTCAACAATTTGATGAAGAGGAAACATCACGAAGTGTTCGCGTTGTAAATAGCTGTTCTTTCTCTTCTCTTCTTTAACTCTGAACTGTATTTATTTTAGGGATAGGTTAGGGTATGAATAGAGTTTTGGCCAAAATGTGGCATTTATCAAGATGATTTTAGTTTGGTCTTTTGATTGCGTGATAATTGCAAACAAAGCAATTTTTATACAAATATTTCGAAGCACGGTGGCTGAGCGATATATATACATATATAAATAACAAGACACTGTGGTGTATAAGGAAACATTCAATTTGTTTTCACTGTAGATGGCGTACACATCAAAAAACATCACCACTATTTATATAGCAATAGAAAGTAATTTATCATCGCTTGAAGTACGTTAATTGATGAGTTGGATCAGTGTCAACTGCGCACCTACCCCTCCCCGAATTAATTATAAACATTATAAACATTTATATCGCGCAAATTCCATGTGAATATGTTCAAATGCGCGTTAC